TCTTCGCATTTAGCTCTCTGATAGTCATATCTCCGAAATAAACGCGTCTTTAGCTCTGGTTGTCGCTTTACGAAGTTATGAGCCCAACGTTTGCCGACAGGTGATGCATTGCGGTCGGCTAACAGAGAATTAGCCATTTCTTCTACAAAATGAAGTCGCGCAGGAAATCCTCGCGAATCTAGGTCAAGAAGGAATTGAACTATTATCTGTTCCTCTAGATCAGTTAGTTTCCGTGACTTTGGAATTCAATCGCATCGTGATTGAATGCCTTGTTGTCGGCGCCATAGCTTCATTCTTCCAACTTCATAGATCTTCGCAGCGCGTCCAATTGTTAACTTTGGGTCATTTTGAAGGGCTTGAAGTGCAAGAAGAATTCTAGCTTCATCTAATGATTGAGGCATGTTTGGTGGTTAAGAAGTATCTGATCAGATGGAAATGTTGTAGAATGAGGGATTTTTGTAACACATGCTTATCTGTAACGCATGCTTATCAACCACGTTAACCAATCGGTTATATATAGTATTATAGCTAGTATAACAGGAAAGGCGCCGCTGAGTTTTTCTCGGTATAAGACATATCTCCTATAGCAGATCATCTATAGAAGTCAGTTATATTCCTGTAAGAGCTTATTAACAAAATACTCATTAGTTGACCTATAAAGAGCTCATCTAATCACTCCCGCGAGCCAGTTAAGCACCGACGATAACACTGCCGTTGATCCTTCTTACTTTATAACGCCTAAGTAATACCGGAGTATTATACTAAGGGCAAAAGTCAGGGCTATATAAGAGCTAAGCATCGGGTTTATCATTAATAGTGATATGCGCAAAATATATTAGTAGTTCTAGCTATGGTTAGTGATTATGAGAGATAATTTGGCCTCGTAAAGCTTATATTAATATTATAGAGGCTTTCTATAGGCTCATGTATACTAGAATAGGTTTAATACTTAAAGAACTAGGTTAGATATTAGTGGGGTAGAGCTAGGTAGCTGGATGAATGGGTAAAGGTAAAGATATGGTGATGTGGAAAGAATATAAGAAGCACGACCCACGAAGCTAATAACGGATATGAATTATTTCAATTGAATCAATTTCGACGGTGACGATTATTAATCAAATCAACTTTGACCCCAAAGTCGATATGATTGACATATGATGAGCGCTGCATCTGATATTGGGGACAACACAACACGATGGCACTGACAGGGAAGGACATATGTAATGACGTCTGGGGATATGCTTGGAAATGAGGCTGATCCCAAGTAGGAGTTGCAAATACTACTTTTTCAACCTCCGAGAAACCTATTGTGTTGCATATCATAAGACATACAATCACAAAGACGAGATCACCGAAAGCATTACCTGACGACCCCAGACTTTATCATCCCTATGTATGATTGCCTGCCGTGGCCATTTCACTTGGAGATCTATAGTAGTTCAGACGAAGTACTAGCCACAGCCGTTTGATCTTCATTATGACGTCTACCGAGCTGGAAGGAAGAATACCACCCTATTTAGAGATGTAACGTATGTTTAATACTACAGCCTACTGTATGGGCACTAAAAGCGCTATGTAAGTAACAACATTTAATAGTAATTAGCCTAAATCATAATTAGCCTAGGTTAAATACTAACTCAGAGCACTAAAGTACATTTATAACAGTTGTTTAAATAAGACTCCCTTATAACCTTTTCATCTTTCACCTTCCACTTGCTTATATCTAGTCTTGAGTATTATTTACTATTCGGTTACTCTACTGATAGTCATGATCTTCTTTATACTCCTCTCAATCTTGCTCACATGTATTTGGTGGATCCCTTCCTCTAGTTCTAGCGTCTCACGCCCTCGATTGGTGCAGTATGCGAACCCCATCCTCCCTGGGTGGCATTCCGATCCTTCATGCGTCCATGTGAGAGGTAGCTTCTATTGCGTAACGTCAACATTCATGGCCTTTCCTGGACTCCCAGTCTATACATCTCGAGACCTGGTAACCTGGAACCTTGTTAGCCACGTTTGGAATCGCCACTCTCAACTCCCTGGCTTCAGCTGGAAAACTCCAGGCCAGGCAAATGGGATGTATGCAGCTACCATTCGGTACCATAAAGGCATCTACTATGTTATTTGCGCATACCTTGGGTTATCCGATAAGCCAATGGGCGTTCTGTTCAAGACCACTGATCCTCTGGATAGTTCCCAGTGGAGTAATCCTACCATCTTAGATATCAGCGAAATCGATCCGGACTTATTCTGGGATGACGATGGGAAAGCATACCTTGCTACGGCTGGCATCACACTCCAGGAAATCAATGTCAAGACTGGCCAGCTTGGAAAACCATCCAAAATCTGGAATGGAACTTCGAATGAGTGGCCTGAGGGACCTCACATCTACAAAAAGGATGGTTGGTATTATCTCTTGATTGCCGAAGGTGGAACAAGCCAGAAGCACGCCGTATCTATGAGCCGCTCGAAGGCAATCATAGGACCCTATAAGGCATACGAGCACAACCCCATTCTTACCAATAGGGATACGGACGAATACTTTCAGAGTGTTGGCCACGCAGATATATTTCAGGACTCAAATGGACACTGGTGGGGAATGTGCCTCGCAACCCGATCAGGCCCCTCATATCAGCACATGCCCATGGGGAGGGAGGCGGTTCTCTTCAACGTCACCTGGAACGAAGGCCAATGGCCGAGATTAGAACCTGTGCGTGGCCGAATGCCGCGAGTTCCATTGCCTGGATTGGGCTCGCCAGCTTCGGGCAAAGGACCGCTCGCTTCTGGGAACGATCGGTTCGACTTTACAAAGCTGACCAGAATGCCATCGAGCTTTATTCACCATCGCGTGCCACCGCCAAATGTCTTTTCACTGTCAAACAGAGGCTTAAAGATTCGCCCTAGTCGAACCAATCTTACAGGAGACTCAGCATCAAAGGAGGTAGTGCTCACTGGGCAGAATGGCCTGAGTCTTGTTGGTCGCAGACAGTCCCATACGCTATTCGACTTTTCTATCGACATTGACTTTAGGCCCCGCATGATAGGGCAAGAGGCAGGCCTCACCGTGTTTCGAACACAGCTTGAGCACATAGACCTCGGAATTGTACGCGTACCGATCAAAGGCTCCCACGGTTCAGGCTCCCAACTTGTTTTTCGACTCAGGGGGGAGAGTCCGAGCACAACCATCAAGACACACGTAACATCGGTACCGAAAGGTTGGGAGAAGGCCAAAATCAGGCTGGAGGTTACATCGTCTGATGGCTACGAATACATATTTGCGGTTAGGTCAGTGGGGGCGCCTGGGTTTCGGAGGGTAATTGGGACAGTCTCTACGACAGCTGTGAGTGGCCGCGGAAGCAATGGATTCTTCATTGGGTCTATGGTAGGAGCATACGCCACCTGCAATGGAGCAGGTTCCGGCAAAGAGTGCCCGAAAGGCGGAGGTGTGTCTGTGGGGAAATGGGTTTACAAGGGTGTTGGGCAGAGAATCTCGACTGACGAGATTATTCCTAAGAGCGGTCTTATCATCCCTTAGTTTACAGAATTGAAATCCTGCCGGGCTACCTTGAACAGCTTCGCACTTTGAAGATGCTGAGGTTGAAACTTTTGGTTGCCCAGGGATAGCTACTGTTTATTAGAACTGTTATCTTCGTCAAGAACGTCAGTGACAGTCGCTCAGCAACCGAATTGTCCATCTATCCTTGGCTTTTCCTGCAGACATGCCGATCTTGCTGTGAATGTTAACTTGAGGAGTCTGTCCCCCGTCCATGGCCCAAAGGTAGGACCGTGGTATGTCGTGTGATGACTTGAGCTCACGTTTGATTTCCTCGCAACTGCATGAAACGTTCCAAATCTTGGCCACATGGTCGACAGACAAGAGCATGGTACATAGAGAGATGGTTTGTGGCATTGGGTCGGCAGATGGGTATTACAGTTTAATTTAGCCTGTGCATATCCCTTGAGAGACGCTAAGGATCATTCAAAGTACTGATGTCAATCTGGGCTAACGCCAATACATAGTGTCAGAAGTGCAAGATTTCCAGCAAGAAATGAGTCTAGGTAGAGGTATTGCTAATCATGCGATTTGCGGACTGTGATCCTGGCTACTACTATCTTCGGTCCGCACGACTTATCTGTAGCGTGCCAATGAAAGCTGGCGAATTGGACCCATTGATACCCCATACCCCCAAATGAGCCTTAGCGCCTCGTATGGGATACGATAAAATGACTTCCTTGTAAGTATTACATCAAGCTGCATATCCCCACTCCTTCAAGCAGACTTTATCAGTAGATGGTATACAACGTTGAAGACCTGAGGAAGCTGGCCGGTTCTTACCCGCACTTTGAGCGCTGCTAGAGAGTCCGTAGATAGGATAAAGAGAAGCACGGAAAAGCATAGCCGGCGATGTTATACGCGGAAGATAACGTACTTCCATTTGACAACGTTGCATTTGAATCACAACCCGATGGGACAATTCACTTCTGGTTATCTCCCAAACTCGAAGCATTTAATGAGTGACTGTCTGTTGGACCGCAAGTATCTAATTATGAACTCCAAAGGCTGAGCAGTTGGTGCACCCTTACGACACCGCTTACTTTAACAAGATGCGGATCCAATCACTGAATACATGGGTTGTTGCCTTCTTGGTCACTTCAGCAGGTGAGAACATTTGCGCCTGGCAACACCGAGGACCAAGATCTAACTATCTTATTAGAATGTGCCAAGTTATTGACTATCCCATCTGTTGCTTGCCAAAACAATCGAGGTGACCGCTACAATGTCGAAAGAATTGAGTCCATTACGGTTGATACTCGATTCGCAACTTCGGTCGACAAAGACGGACAAATCCTTATTCCACCAACATTGAGTCAGTTTGCAGAGACGTTTCGAAATGATGTTGCGCCTCTTGTTGGCCGCAAGCTCCGCCTTGAGTACGGGACTCTTCCTAAGAAGAACTCGATCTTTATGACAATTGACAAGAATCGAGGTAAATATGTAGATGCTGCCAAAAGGTACACCTCAGAGGGTTATTCTCTGGAAACAAGCAAAAATGGCATCATCCTCAAAGGCGCCAGCCCGCTGGGAGCTTGGTGGGGAACTCGAACTATCTTTCAAGCTCTGGCTCTCAACGGCTATCTACCGCATGGATCTATGACTGATTCCCCAGGTTGGGGTAGTAGGGGTGTTATGGTAAGTAGCGTAAAGAGCCTTCAAGCCAGGATCGCTTGTGGCTCACGTTGATGAGTGGAATCCATGTTAACTTGTACAAGCTTGATATAGGTCGGCATTACTACCCACCAGAATTCCTGGTTGAAATGTGTTCCTATCTATCCATCTGGAAGCAGAACCAATTTCATCTCCATATCAACGACAATCTTTTCATTAACTTTGATCTCTACACGGATAAACAGATGCGGGAACTCTACTCAGCCTTCAGGCTGAGCTCAACTAGTCCCGCACTCGCTGGCTTGGCATCTCCTGCCAATGAGTCGTACACTCACGCCCAATTCGAATGGATTCAACGGCAATGCGCCGCTAGAGGTGTGACCATAATCCCAGAGATCGACGCTCCAGCGCATGCCTTGGCTATCACTAAGTGGAAACCCGAGCTTGCCCTGAGTGGAAACCCGTCTATGCTCAACATCAGTCACCCTGGCACCATACCAACTTTGAAGACCCTCTGGAAAACGTTTCTGCCATGGTTCCATACCAAGACAGTGCATCTTGGAGCTGATGAGTATAACACTACTATGGTGTCCCAGTACAACAAGCTTGTTGATGAGCTCTATCATTTCGTCTCACAATCCAACAAAAAAGCTCGAATCTGGGGAACATTTCCACCTAGCAAGGGTGGTAAGTATACCAAGGACGTCGTTATTCAGCACTGGGCACCCTACGAGGATAACGCATACTTTGACTTCATCAAGAAAGGATACAAGGTCCTCAACTCAGACTTTCTATTCTACATCAGTTCCAAATGGCATGGATACTTCGGTCAGACACTGAACAAAACTCTCATCTTTGGCGGCAATCCTGAAGGTGGAGCATTCGCTCCCCATATCTTCGACGCCAAAAATGCGACTAACAACCCACCTCGTGATAGTCCTGGCGTCATGGGATACATTGCGGCGCAGTGGTCCGACTACGGCCCGTCAGCATCAACCTACCTCGAGGTGTACTACGCATGGCGGGATGGACTACCAGCCTTGGCAGACAAGGCCTGGGGAGGCAACCTCTCAGAAGCTGAGTATAATTCTATTCTCGAAAAGGTCATCGCGAACATCCCGGGTCAAAACCTGGATAGGCGAGTCAAATCCAAGACCGATCTTATACTCGACTATCGTTTCAGCGATGCACGCGCATCCAAGTCGAAACTGGTGCGGGACACTTCTGGCAATGGATATGACGCCGTAAACCATAACTGCAAGATCCGTCGGTCCGAGGTTTTGGTCTCATCAAGATGCTACTTAGAGACGCCGCTGAGTAGCAAGGGTCGAGACTACACACTCTCATTTTGGGTCTATCCAGAATCACGCAGACATGGTGAATTGTTTTCTGGACCGGACTCTGCTCTGCATCTCGGGTATGGAACAAGCCCTAATGTGACACTTGTCAGTGGCAATCATGCCTATTCTCTCAATTATTCGCTGCCCACCAACATTTGGACTCACGTCGATCTTTCCGCCCGTGGAGGTTCAACATTCCTGAAAGTCTTTGAGAAAAACGCTGCAAAGACGATGGAGTTCTTAGCAGAGGTTAAACCAAATGGAGTGATGGGGAGCAATGGCGTCATGACAATCTGGAGACCAATTGCTATTGAAGCTCCCTTGAGAAGGATCGGTAGAGGTTTTGTTGGCAAGATGAGAAGTATCTCACTCAGAGGGACTGCCTGAAGATACCTTGGCAACAGAGGATCTTGACGCGTTGAGAGTCTCTTTTGTTTGCTTCACCAGCAAAAGATCTAATGATCTGCAACACAGTCGTTGTTGTTAAGCTATATATGTCATGTGGTAGCTCCCTATATCAGAGTATAGTACTTGATATTAAACCCCAGGAGACTCATCTCACCGTGCTTCGAGTTGATGTTTAGAAACAGCGATCAATTACCAGACAGGCCGTTGGATTAACACATCAGAGGGGACACGGAGCTGAAGACGCCTTGTTGTTACTTTTTGCATTAGAATAGATTGAGGGCCATCGCTATAAGCTATCACAAGAAGTGGGAGATCATGTGTCCGACCTCCAAGTGATGTGATCTGGTGTGCTATATGTAAGTAATCGAGGCACGGTGCAAGCCGCCATGAAGGGCACGAGTTGGTTAAAAGTCAGGGCGATGGCTCAATTAAGATGCTCTGTATTAACAGACACGTGTCAGGTCACGAAACCATAACCCGTCAACAGTCAATCATTCCTCTACCTTGGAAGCTACCATTACGTTGGCACTGCTGAGGTACTCGACCGAAGGAGACGTCACTGCATCGGCCTTCGAGACACGAATCTCATCAGTAGGCCTGTAATCTCCTAGTGTACCGACTGCCTTCAACCAGTGCTGTTCTCTTCTTTCCCGATTGTACAACTGCATCAACCTTTAGAGATACTCCTTCAAGATCAACTCCAGACTTATCCAGGCACCACAGCGTCATTGCTAGATAGTTGGAACCATGATGGTTCAATATTCCTTCGGGGAGCACGTACTGGGTTTGAGGGCCCAGGTTATTTACTGTCATAGCCATCAGTTTCTCTACTTTTACTCTGAGGGGGAGGAGCACGCGTGTAGTTACCATATTTACCAAGCTGCCATCCGTTGACGAATATCTGAGCTCGAAAGTTTGCAGGCGCCTTTCGGCCAGTGTCGCTACTCCCAGCGGCCGTCGTCGTATTCTCGAAATTCAGACTGATGGGAATGTCAAAATCTTGTGGGAAGTCAAGGTCAAACGTCGTGGCAAAAAGCCCCACGCCGGCTTGCTTCAAACCATCAAGTTTAGTCTTTTTCCACTGACTGAGAGGAGCTCCCGGCAGATGGAATCCCTTTCTCTCGGCATAGAGGCTTCCCTCGTTGAGAGGTCCTCTGCTGTGGTCCGGGTATTGTTCACCGCCAAGATTTCCTGTCAATTTCCAGGAGAGATCCGACTTCTTTGAGTGACCAGAAAGCATATAGTCAAGGATCCCACGAGGCTCCTTCATCTCTTGAGCATCTGAAAACCAATTGTCGTGAAGCCCCATGTGATCGATCAAGGTAGTAATAACATATGGTGCATGTGCTTTGAGTTTTTTAGGAAGACTCAAAGTCTCATTTCGGAAAAACACCCCGGTTTGACCCGGCCACGAACCAAGGAATGTCGAGTTCAGCCAGATAGAGTGTCCGAACCCCTGGCCTCCCTGCGTAGAGATAAACAACGACGATTCGTGCCCTGTAGCGATGAAGTGCCCTCGGTACAGCATGGACCCAGAGTGGAATCCATAATCGCTAGCGTAGAGTGATGTAGGGGTTGTTAACGCCCGAATGTTGTTTGTGTGTCTGTTTGTGCAGGAAACCCACTTGGAATCATCGTATACCTTGTGTACTTCTGGTAGTGAATCGACATATCTCCATTGCAAGCGGCTGAGATCCGGCAGTCGTATCTTTGGCTCCTTGAACTTTATTGTGCCTCGGGCTTGAGACCCTTTACTCTTGGTACGAACTTGTTGTCCATTGAAGTACAGCTTACTAGGAGTAATAGGAGCGGCAACGACCTCAACTTCCGTGGTCCGGTTGACGTCTCCGGTGAGAAACAGGCTGGATCCCGAAACCTTGGCGGTCCTCATGAGATATCCAGCCTTGACAATAACGCTCAAGTCGGTAGACTCCAGTCTAGAAGGCGTTATATAGTTGTTTATGGGCGCTGGTGCAGGGAGATCCAGTAACCAGTAGTTGTAAGCATCGTTTCGCCAGAGGAGGTGGACTTCGAGACCTGAAGCGAAGCGCAGGACCTGGCCTTGGGTTTGCACGTTCCAGTTGATAGTCAAGAGTGAATCAACCGAGCGGCATTTGAAGCGGTTTCCTCCACTTGCTACCGGGCACCTGTGATCATGTCGAATGGCGAACTCGTGCGTTTCACCTTCTCCACCATAGAGCAGAAGAACCGTTTTCGACTTGAACTGTCGCCATGCCATGACTTCTGCTGTAGAGTAGACAAGCTTGGTGTTGCCAACAGGGTAGTCTGCGACGTGGATCTTGGTGTCTCGGCCATTCAAGGTCAACCGGCCTCCAAGACGCGGGATCTTCAATTTACCACTGCTCGTCGGAATAGTCAAGGAATAGGAGTTCGTGTCGTTGGCAGCATAGTCTGCCTGACGGACGATGTAGTAGGCTGTCTGTCCAGATTTGAGCTGCGTTACCACCACTTTGCGGCTGTCTGTGTACTTTCCAAAAGTGCCATTGTCAGGGACAGACGTGAGATAAGACGGAGACGACTGCAAGAAGTAGCCTTGAAGCTTGAGCTCACTATACTTCTCGCGATCAACAGCACGGTTCTCGGCGATTGCCGCACCCACATCATACGAGGTGTAGCCCTTTGCGTGCCCCAGGTTACCCCAATTGGTACCACCGAACGTCTATCATAGGCGAGGTCAGCACGGCTCTTGAAACAGCATGAACGGAAGTACGGACCATGTAGAGGTTAACGATCTTGGCGCTCAAGGCGTAAACGAGCTTGTTGAAAACCCGAGCAAATTCGTGATTGATCAAGGCCGAGCAGGACTCGACACCAGTTCCGCCCCTAAGTAGCCCATCAAAGTCAGTAATTCATTGCCAGAATGGACGATGAAGATGCTAAATACCAAAAGTCCGCTGCTCCTCCTTGGTACTCCACCATTGCAAATGGAGTGTTCGGACTCATCCTGTCCTGGACCGTAGCATTTATGTTGTTCAGGAGCCATTCTCCGCGTGTCCAGTTAGAAGGATTGTCACCTGCGTAATGATTTAGAATAGTCATTCAGATGATCAGTCTGAGTATCACTTACAGCCAACGCCCCAAGAGAAGGGGTAATGGTCCACACCGTAGATATCTACAGCCCCAGCACCAGAGCCAGGAGCCCAGTTCCCCACCGGTACACCGTCGTTGCTGATGAACGGGACTGTAATGCCAGCGTTGCGAAGCTGTGATTCTATAAACTGCATGTAATCCGGCTGGAGGCAACCGGTAACATTTCCAGAAGCATATGTTGAGCAGATTGAGTATTCATTCTCCGGTTGGACGAGAATTACAGGGCCTCCCTTTGTAATTTGGGCATTCGCAATGAGGCTACCGACATGAGAAAGATAGGTCTTGGTGGCTTCGAGAAACTCGGGATCCTGTGTACGTATCGTTCCGGTGATGCGTTGGATCCAGCCTGGGAAGCCGCCTCCAGATACCTCGGCATTGATATAAGGGCCTGGCCGAGCCAACAGATAGATGCCAGCCTCAGATGCCGCTTTAAAGAATTCTTCTAAAGCAAAGACGCCATCAGCTCTCACATGACCAGGCTGCCCCTCTAGCACGCCCCACATGAGGTAAAAAGAGGCCCCAGAGAAACCACTGGCTCTCAGTTTCTGGAAAATATCAAGCCAAGCGCCTGGTGAGGGGAGGCGGAAAGGGTGTACTTCTCCTAAGAAGAACATAATCCGCTCTCCGCGAACAAGAATTGAGTGCTCATCCCATGTTACGAGATCTTGAGGCTGAGCGTTTGAGGGAGTTTTAATAGATGCACCCAATGCAGAGGCTGGTAGCTTGGCTGCCAACAGGCAGAAGGCCATGAGTTGATAAACAAGGCAACAAAAAGACACCATCATTTGAAAATCTTATTATTTAGCTAAGCTCATGGATGAGAAAGAGCTATGGATCACGTACAGGACCTTGTCCCTTGGGTATTTATGTATGTTGTTCTTTACTGACGTTTGAGCTACGGTGGCTGAAGCCTAATGACCTGCTACGCCTATGGGATTAACAAATGACAAACATGAACTCTCTAAGCATGGTAGCATTGCTACAAGGAAAGCAATGTTACGTTACTATGTATTGCCAGAACAGCTTGCTTGTTACTGCATAACTAGTTGAGAGATTTAGCTAAATGCTCTGCAGATCAAGAGGGGCTAATTTACCCAGGGCCAAATTTACCCGGGGGCCAGGGTACACAAACGCAAGCTCCTGTTGAGAGGAGAGGGTGTCCAGTAACCTAATGCCCCGACCGGCTGGTAAGGATCTACAACACTTGGCTGAGAGTACGATTGTATCGATAAGAGATATTTTTGCATTTTAATTAGTTATATAAATAGCTTCATAATTATTTTACACTTGCACTTACCACCAATTAAAATAAAATATTTTCTTTAGTTTTATTGCATGAGTAATAATAGAGCTAGGTTCACCAGTTAAATATTGCAGGTACAAAACTTCTATTATGCTTATAGCTAGAAAAAGGTATGAGAAACCTGAAGATCGAGACAGTTCTGAATTCTCAATCGTCTGCGTATGTGTTTGTGGTAGGATTGCTTAGTGCAAGGGATGGAATGAATGCCACCCAGAGTGAGAGAGGAAAACCACAGCTTGAAGAGGGCTAGAAGCTGCAATGGCGAGGTTTATCACATAGATACACTGTACAGACCCGTACTCTTGAAATGTGTAGATTCATCAGACGCATATATAATCCTCACTATTCACCATTTTCGTCAAACGACTGGGCGAACAGAGCCACAAACTTGTCTTTATCAACACCTCGTCCCTCGCCATCACCAGGCCACCCTGCTTTCATCAACGCAACAATCATTTTATCATGTCTCACATTAGAGCCCCAAGCCAAATTCAAGCTAAGTGACGAGACCACTACTGTACCAAAACTAACCTATCGCGAATCTAGGAACCGCTGTTTGCGATGGGCAAAAGAAATGGTGGGTTGGTAGGCGTTGCAGCATACCCGCCAGTCTTGATCTTTGTCATGTTCATCATACTCGTCCAAAACCTCGTTGAGTTCTTGTGCGGGCTCATCTTGTTGTCCCTAAACTTTTCCCAGTAGAAATAATCATCCTTAGTACCGGCAAATACATAGTAGCCGCAATTGCCATATTTGTCGGTGATCTTAACACAGTCGCCCTTATCTTAGGACTTGTTTCAGATCCTTTAAACCACTTCTTGCCACGGATTCATCTCTGAGTAGATTCGGATCAATAGTTGGTAAAGAAAGTGCTCTCCATAATGTGCGGTAGGGCCGCGGTATAGCCTGGGCGCGTATCGTGTTTTGGGTAGGGCAGATGACGGATCAGCTTCGCAGGCTTATCGTTTTTCTTCACCCTGGCCATGATGTCGTTGGACATAGATGGCTAACCTCAGACTGGTACATAGTGGACAGGTGTGCCCCAAAAACCGCGGCTGAAAAACTCATAGTAGTCTGTGATAAGAGTGATGAATTTGCCGTGGTCAAAAGCCATGGTGGAGTCGATGTAGAAGAGCAGTTTTATATCGAAAGATGAGGTGAAGCGTTCCAGGAAGGGCGCGACGGACGGCCAGTCAGGTACATTTATGGAATCGACCGCTGCTAGTATGAATGGACCGAAGTGGAAGGGCGATCTTGGTCATTTCGAATATCTAGCGGTACCAGCATTCACGATTTCCATGTAAGGCATTCTAGCTCGCGAACGCTAGAATGTATTGAAGTTTACGATGCTGTGAGATTCGACTGGGCTCGAGGCCATGAGCTTTAGTCAACAAAAGGCCTTCGACCAGCTTGAAGGCTCAGGACGTTTTTGGTGGTGACGAGGTACTCGAACTTGTGGGTGACGAAAATCGATCGTGGGTGTAGGATGGCCAGAGCGTGGGCTAAAGCCATCGAGATAATTCCCGATGTTGGCCATGACAGTTGGCGTCTGACACATGACTCGCCCTCAGAGCAGAAGCAAGAAAGAAGCCGAGACAGAGGGGATTATGAAATGGAATGGTGCAGCTTCGATTATGAGACCGTCCACGTTTGCGCTGCGTCGGTTCCATGGAGGATCGATATAGACGAGCAAGGGCCGTCGTACGTGGCACCGCTCGGGCCAAACAGACGTGCTAATAGATGTAGACTGCCCGAGACATATTCTATAGTGGCGTATACAGTACTGGTAAAGGAGTTCCGGCTGAGTACTATGCTCGACCATCTGTCAAGCTGGGGCCTCTTCAAATTCGCGTCCTCACTGGAAGTAGACACGGATGAGATAGTGCGAAGGTGTTTCAGAATAGCGGCAGTGTCTCAGAGGAGACGGTGCGATGGGGCAAGACAGGAATATCGAAAATGGACAGTGATAAGACCATCACAAATTCGAGATACTAGAGTTGGTAAGGCAGAGTCACTATTAAGGTCATTGGAACAGAGCACTCTTGTCCAGTGACAGGAGGACCCCTCGCGTGTGTTCCGGTCATTCTTCGAGAGCTTAATTTCCATAAGTCTGCCCCAGATCTCATATATTTCTATATAAAGTAGGTCTGTAGCTTTTATTCTGGTACTACTCGATGGCTTGGCGTAGTAAATATCTCGCAATATTCCATCATCGCGATTAAGTCTTAGGAGTGCTATGCCACACGACTATGAAAAACGTTAAAAAAGAGCCACCGTTTGTAATTGTGTCATGAAATAATCATAAAATGACATTATTAGTTTACGAGATCACAGTCAAGTACCAAGCATAATCTAATAGCTTAATTTATAACACAGAAACATAATTAATACAGTAACTAGATTGACTAATTCTTAGCTCTATCTTCTTCTACTATTTCTAAGCCACTCTACTCATCATGTGACTTGACTTAACTTATCCTTTATCATTGTCACCGCCTACTAGACAGGAAGTTATGATTCACGGTCTTGGTTAATTAAGTGCAAGCAATCTAATTAGCAATCAGGTAAGAAGAGCATAGAGCGACTCAAAGTTGATGGGTAATTGATATCTCAGATAAGGACCAGATTACAATAACAATTGCCGTATGGTCTACACATCGAGCCCTTAGCAGTAAGGGCCTAGTTTTTAATTCTATAATCTTTGGCCACGATATGTTTTTAAGAGGCCGCTGCATCTTCAAGGGGATGAATTATTTGTTATTACTGCTACAATCGTCGCAGTAATAATATATCGCTCTATCTACATACATCCTCATTCAATATCTCTTTAAGATAGATCCAATCCACACATCTTTAAGAAACACGACTTACTCTTCATCTAACACAATAAGCCACCATATAATAACGTCTCACCCCGTTCCATTTCCACCATATCCTGATTACCACATACGCACAATGCAGAGACACGTGACTTCGGCAATTGTTTAGATGCACGGATCCCAAACTCAGTCATTCAAGGATTCTTATTCTGCAGCTTGATATTGCAAATAGAATTCAAACGGTAACATTTAGTTTAAACACATCTCGCTGAAGGCTAGACTTCTCGACCACTCAAGCTCATAACCATCGATTATTGCATTATCAAAACCTTTCTTGTATAACTTTGCTATGGTGGGAATGGACTGTGACCAAAAACACGTCTAGATACGCGCGCTCCTGAATTCTCAATCGGAGAGATACTTCAATTGCTTGTGTTCCTGCAGCAGTCTGAGTCCTTTTCGACGATAGATGCCAGTAATTGCTAGGCCTTAAGGTTACACTTGCCCAAGATTGTCTCCGTACTCACTTGTGAGTCATTGTGCTGAGGACAAAATTTTGTCTGCCTTGACATGAACTTAATCACATTGTAAATCACCTCAGGTGGCGAAAGTTGATGCGCTGCCCACCTTATTATCACTTATGATTTTCTCATAAGAAGGGTCAAATCTTACCCCCTCTCAACCTCGTCTTGTCTCTCCATCATCCTATCTCAATTCAACCCTTGGCATAGCTTCCTCTACTTTTCACCCATTTCCACGGCTGCCATTTGAGTTTCGATTTCTGGCATCGCAGAGCGCATATCTCATATCCCGGAAAGGCTATCATGGTCTACACTACATTCCTCTCGACAGACATAGAGGCCTTGAGCTTTTAAGCTCCAGTTGGGGGAGTCCGGCAGATCCTGCATTCTCATGTGACGGATCTGCCTATTTACGGGATTGCGGTCTTTAGATGGCTTACAAGGAGTCTAGAGTGGTAATAACAGATAAACTCCGAGTCAGAAAGTAGAGAGAAGCTCGGGAATATACTAAGCTGGAGCGTTATTCTCCTTATTGCGATCCATTAGCTACTATGGCTCCAACAATAGTTAACATCCCAGGCTCCCATAAGCCGTGGCATCTGCCCGTTTACCCCTCTCAACATATGTTCTATATCACTGTTGATAACTGGGAGCCATTAGTATGCGAATGGAGATGGATATCTCCTACTGCCAACTTCCTCGGTAATAAGGCCTATGGTCCCCCAGTTAGGAATATTATTCTAGAGTATAACCCTTCTTAGAACCATGTCTCTACTTACTTTTGTCATTTTTCAGATCTAGGCTTCTGGGTTAAATTAATGTTTGATATATTCAAGGACGAGCCATTTCACACCAATGGTCATCGTATAGATAAGCCTGCCCGCTGGACTGTAAAGTCTGGCATCGGCTTTAATATAATGTCTTGTGATTGTGACTATAAACATGCTGAGATGAGTTGGGGGGATATGGGGGCGAACTCTGGGGATTATTGGTATGTCTTATTCTGGCGTTCACGAATAGGTCAAATAGTCAGCTCATGCATGAGCTGAACTATGATCGCTACGGAGATGACGAAGGGAATGGCAGTATATATGTTGGTGAAGTAA